GACGACTGCAGGGACCACGCGTGGCCCTCGGGGACAGAGCCTGGATGGGGGCCCTGGAGGCCTCCACTCCGACTCACGGCCAGGCGTCCCAGCAGAGCCCGCCGCCCGCCCACGCCCCCTTCGACTGGGTGGAGGGCTCGCGACCGGGGCGGCCCAAGCCCGAAGGCTGGGGCTGTCACTGAAACCCGCGGGCCGCAGGGCAGGATTTCCAGACTGCCGAAGCACCTGGAGGGCTCTGGGGGACCCGCCCCGCTTCGGTCTTCGTGCAAGGGACTCCTGCAGTCTTGCCCGCTCTGAGGGCTCCTCACCTCGGGATCTGCCCCACTCTGGGCAGATGCTCAAAAGGGACAGTTAGCGCCTGGGGACAGGACCCCTTTCATAGGCTTGTCAGTGTGACCTTTGGTAACTGGGCTGTGCAGGCGTTTTGGCAACGCAGACCGCCCTTTCTGGCCGAGGAAGATTTTAGCAAGTTATGCTGGAAAGAGGGGACTGGACTGCCTGTCCATGCCTCAGAACTCAAACAGGCTTGTTCTGAACATTCTTGCCGTCTTTACGGGTGAAATGGAGTTTGTCATCTTGCAAGTTGGGTTTGGCTTTCTGTGTGACCTTTGTAGTTGAAGGAGTCAGGCTCCTTGGAGCCTTTTTCCCCACGTGGCCTCAGCCTTGGCCTGCAAAGGCTTGAGCAAACACTGCAGTTTCTAGCCGCTGAAGGCCACATTCCTAGAACAGGCCTCCCCACCCTTCAAGCGCCCTCTGGGGATCGCTTCAAGCTGCCTAAAGCTGCCGAGAGAATTTGCCGTTTGTTCCAGCAACACCTGAACTCAGGGCTCCTTCTCCCAGCCTCTACGGAGGCTCTCTGGGAGCCTAACTTCTCAAGTGAGCAAACCCGGGGGTTTCACGTAGACCTAGACCAACCCCTTCCTTCCCACTTTTGGTAACTTTTTGCTTCCCTGACTGCTCAGCCCCCTGCCATTCTTCCTCCCTCCTCCCCAATTCATTTTTTCTCTCTCCTTATTAAATACCTAGTTATTTTATAGATACGGGTCTTGCTATGTTGCCCAGGCTGAGCTCGAACTCCCAGTCCCAAGCAGCCCTCCCCTGGGTCTTCCAAAGTGCTGGGGCTTCGGGCGTGCGTGCCCGGCCATGTTCTCTTGAAAAAGCCCAGTGGCCTCTCTGCAAGTCTGAGCAGCACTCCGCTCTTCCCCGGTCGCCGGGAGTTACCGGTGAAATCTGTGTTCACGGCCTTACCTAAAGTCTGTGTGTGCCTTTGGCAAATTAAAGACAACTCATCAGCCTTATTAAATTACATCTGAATTACATTATGTTATTATATATTATTAATTTGTTCGTGCTGTGACCCCCAAGGGCGCTTTAGTGATGCCTGGAGCCCTGGACTAGGGGAAGCACCACTGGAGCCAGGAGAGTGATCCACGCGGCAGAGTAAGGAACAAAGCAAGAGGTGGAAGTGCGATCAAACACCAGATATGTATGACCTGGGTATGACATCTGTGTGAATCGCAAGAGGTGAGTGGCGCCTCGTTAATGGGATAATGTATGAAACAACGGGGCTAGATGCAACCTGCAGACCGCCCCTTGTAGCCACTGTGGAGATGGAGGTGGGACTTGAGCTGGTTTTGAGGCTGAAGCTGCTATTGCTGCTTTTTTCTTTTTTTGAGTCGAGGTCTCGCTCTGTCGCCTAGGCGGGAGCTTGCCGCAGCCTTGACCTCCTGGGCTCAAGCGAGCCTCCCACCTCAGCCTCCCGGGGAGCTGAGGCCACAGACCTGCGCCACCGTGACCGGCTAAAGTCTGTCTTTCAAGCACTTGTCAAGGACTGCACCAGACACTCGGTAAGAAGGAGACAGGACAGGTAGGGTTCTAGCCCTCAGCTGTGTCCCTTGCTGCGGGCAAGGGGAGACGTAAGCAAGGGAGTCAAGGAAGTGCGGGCTGCCCTCGGTGTGCTTGGAAGGAAATTCATCACTGCTTAAAGTTGCTCAGAACAGGGTGTGGGGCCGCCTGATACAGACCTGCTTCCGTTGGCTGAGACGAGGTGGCCTCCAGGCCGAGCCCCGCGGAGCCTGGACTGGCCGCACAAAGAGCCCAGGAAAGAGCTCCCCAGGCGGGGGCACGGCAAGGGCCTGCGTGGTGGCAGCGCGTGCTGTCCCGTTTGAGGAGCAAGAGGGTGGAGGCCGCAGCGCGTGCTGCCGGGGAGGGAGGCGAGGCGGATCCCGAGGCCTTGCAGGCTGCAGCAGCCAGGGTTGTGTTCTGTCTCCCTCCGTGTGTGGAGGAGGGTGACATGTGCTGGGGTCAGAGCCGGCCAGGGCAGCAGGATGGGCCAGTCCCACCCCTGGACCAACCCACGGCGGCCTGGCCAGAGGCCTGCCGGGGATGCCGTGGGACACCGATTCCGAAGAACTCGAGTTAGCTCCCACCTGTATTCCCTGCAGACGGTGGGTGCTGTTGGTTCTTGGCCAGGGGGATGACTCGGGGAGGTAAAGCATTGTCGGTGTGCCTGCTGCATCTAACCCACTGTGGTCGGGAGCACAGCGGCCCGTGAAAACGCCCTCGGCCCCGTCTCCTGGCTTGATGCTGAGGTTTGTGTCTTCGGGATACTCCCTCGACGGCGGAAAAGCCCGGCCGAGGAAAGGTTGCCGGGCCTCTCGCGGTGGGCCTCGCCCACGCCCTCGCCTCCTGCCTCCTCAGCCCCGCGCTCAGCCCCGCCGTGTCTCCCTCTGTCTCTCTCCCTGTCCGTCCCTCTGTTTCTCTGTCTCCCTCTGTCTGTCTCTCTCACTCTCTCTGTCTCTCTATCTCTGTTTATCTCTGTGTCTGTCTCTCACTCTCTGTCTCTGTGTGTCTTTCTGTCTGTGTCTCTATCTGTCTCCTTTGTCTCTGTCTCTCTCTGAGTGTCTCTCTTTGTCTATCCCTGTCTCTGTGTGTGTCTCTCTGTCTCTCTCTCTCCCCCTCTCCCCCATCCTCTTGGTACGTAAGCATGTTCTCCCGGTCTCTTTCAGTGTTGCCTGGCTTTGCGAACACACCTCCCTTCAGGAGAGTCCTGAGCACTTGCCACCCACACTCCCCACTGGCAGGACTCCGAGAGGATGGTGACCCAGCTCCTCTCAGCCGTTGACCACGCCGGCCCCAGCCACCACTTCCTGGACGCTACTCCCCCCTCCAGACCTACAGTGACCCCGGGGGTTCCAGCTCTCAGATGCAATGGATGCTCGCCTTATTGCTTTGCCCTCTTATCTGATTTCCCAGCATTTGATACTGATTTGATCGTGTTCTCTTCTCCCTCCCCTGACTTCCCCTCTACCTGTTTCTGCCTTCTGTGTCCTCACCTTCTGATCCTCTCTTCACGGTGGTTGTCCCAAGTTCCATCTTTCCATCTCCCGCCCACTTCCCTGCCCACCTGTCACCCTCTCTGCGTAGCCCTCTCCAAGCCTGTGACCTCAACCAACAGATATTTCGGTGACGCTCAACTCTTCACATCCAGCCCGGAGCTCTCTCCCGGTCCCTGTCTGAATCTCCTTGGACTCCCCCAGCTGCCTCTCATTCCACCCTCTCCTCCCTGTCCCAGTGAATGTCACCACCACCTGCTGATTGCCTAGGTCCGAAGACTGGAAGGTTTCCAGGTGCCTCCCTCTTGCTCACCCTGAAATGCAATTAGTCACGAATTCTGCTTTCTCAGTATGTTTTCCCATTCCAGCTCCCCAGCTTTGCTCAGCCTCTCGCCGTTGGTTGTTGGGATGACTGACACTGCCTTCCAACCGGTTCCTCAGCCTCTAGCCTGGCCTCCTTCCAATTCATCGTCTGCCCTGCTGCCAGGACTAACCCTTTAAAACGCACATCAGGATTGCCTGAACCCGCGGGTTCGAGACCCGCCTGGGCAGCGAGACCTCATCTCTACAATAAATCAAAAAATCAGCTGGGTGTGGTATGCATGCCTGTAATTCCGGCTACTCCGAAGGCTGAGGCGGAAGGATCGCCAGAGCCCAGCAGGTCGAGGCTGCGGTGGCCGGGAGCGGCCACTGCACTCCAGTCTGGGCGACGGAGTGAGACTCCAACTCAAAAAATAAAAAATAAAATAAAACGCACATCAAACAATGTCACTCCCTTGTCTAAAGAGTGCAGCGACTCTATGTAGTCTGCAGAACGAAATTCAAATTCCTCAGCATTTTGCGCTGGGCTGTCCTGGCCCGACCACGACTCCCACCCCCCACCACCACCACCAAACCCTCATAGCCACCCGGCACCCCAGGGCATCTCCTCAAAAATTGATGAGTCTGGCCAGATAAGTTTGGATTTAAATCCAGTGGACGGATTTAAACTCAGTAATGCACACTGAGACTCTCCGAGAAGAGAAGCCTGAGCCCCAAACTCTAGTAAGCACCTCAAGGAGCTCAGCTAGGAAGCACCACAGAGAAATTCGAACTAGCATTTCCTGGATTGTGCCCTGCTGTCCTGCGCTTCTCCCCTCCGCCCAGGATGGCGTTCACCTAATGACTAATTGGTTACCAAACACAGCTGTTCTCTGTGTGCTGAGAAAGAGCCAAGCGCATGGGTCCAGGATACTGTGAGGAATGCTGGGTGGACGTGGCAGCGTGAGGTGGGGCCTGGGCCAGAGTAATCAGGAAATGGTAACTTTGCTCCCTCACCTGCGTTATCTGAGATGGGTGTCAGTTTCTCATCACGTATTTTGAGCTCAGTTGTTAAGCGCACGTATCGCCAATTCGTATGTCTTCTGGATATATTGGCTCTTACTCTATGAAATGTCCTTCTTTGTCTCTAGTAGTAGTTCTTGTTTTAGGGCTGTTTTGTCTGATGTTAATGTGACCATTTATATCCTCTAATGGCTACCGTTTGAATGGTATGTCTTCTCCCATCCTTGTACTTTCAGTCTTTTTGTATGCTTGAATCTAAGCCTCTTGTAGACAGTATATAGTTGACTCTTGCCTTTTTATCCAGTCTGATAATCTCTGCATTTTGATCGGGGTATTTAGACCATTCACATTTAATGTAATTGTGGATGTGATTGGGTTTATATTTGCTATTTTCTACATGTCACTTGTCTTTTTTATTCTGTTCTTCCTTGACTGCTCTCTTTTGTGTTAAATATTTTTAGGGTGACATTTGCATTACTCCGTTAATTTTGAAAAACAAGTTTTAGTTAACTTTTAGGAATTGTAGTCTAAGGATTTCAGTATGCATCTTAATTTGTTATAATCTGCTCCAGAGTAATACTGACTTGATTCCTGGCAAATGTAGAACATTTGTTCCACTATTCTTCTGTTCCTTCCCTTCTCCTTTGTGCTATTACTTTCACGAGTATTACATCCATGCTGTAAATCCAATGATCCAACGCCATACTTACTGCCTCTTTCAATCTCATGTCTTCTTCGGAAGAAGTCAGACAAAAAGTGAGAAGAAGCATTCCTCTCAGTTCTTTGGTGAGAGCCTGTGTGATTCTCCCTGCCGGCGCTTCCCCATCCCCTGGCGTGGGTGCCCGAAGGCAGGCGAGTGGGCCCCTTTGGCCACGTGGACCCTGCTGCGCAGAACGTCTGCACGGGTCACGCGAGGGCAGCCAGGGAGCGGGCGGGCCAGGCTGGAATGCCGCAGACTCCCGGCGCTCTGGCCTGAGGCTCGGCTGTTTCTCCAGCACAGCTGCCTTTCAGATGGATGTGTGCCCTTGGTCTGTTCTCAGAGTGCCGGTGAGTTCTTTGGGCTGAGTTTGCCCAGCTTTGGGTCTGCGTGTTGGGAAGACGATTCTCTGATGTCTCCAACCAGCCGTGGCTGGAAGTCCCTGCTGGCAGGGCTTCTGGTTCACAGCAAGTCCGTCGAGTCGGGGGAGTGGGTGGCTCAAGGACTGAACAGGTGAAGGGCTTGACAGTAGAACACGGCCGGAAATTGCCAGGTTGGAGAAGACAGCACAGACCATCCCATCTTGCGGAGCTTGAGGGAGAGTCCCGCGGCAGCAGAAGGCGCCGTGCAAACGAGGGTGCCAGCCGCCGGAGCACTTCCAGGGATGAGAAGAGCCAGAAATGCCAGCGAGGGTTGACTGGGGGTGGGTGACAACCCTCTCGGTCCTCACATTTAAAGCCAGTGGCTCCTCCCTCCTGCCCAAGGATCTGAGGGACCGAAGGGGATCCAGAGGGCAGGGTGGCGACTGGCTTTGTGAAGATGAAGAGCACGGGCAGTGGCGGCTGGGGACAGAAAATGACTTCGTCACAGGAGGAGGGGAGTCCCAGGAGACTGCAGAGGGTGCGTTGTCTTGTGCTTTGAAGGTTCGTGTCTTGGAAAAGTCGAATGATGGTCGCCAGGGTCAGGGCGTGGAATGAAGGGGTTACTGTGGACTGGATGCGGAGTTTCAGCTTTGCTGGGAGATGGATGGTAATCATGGTTGCACAGCAATAGAGATATACTTTTTTTTTTTGGTTGGAATGGCACTGTGTTGCCCAGGAGTGCAGTGGCACTATCACAGCTCACTGTAGCCTCGACCTCCTGGGCTCAGGTGATCCTTCCGTCTCAGCCTCCCCAGTAGCTGGGACTACAGGCACACACCACCATGCGCAGCTAATTGTTTCATTTTTTTTCTTTGAGTTGGAGTCTCACTGTCACCCAGACAGGAGTGCAGTGGCCGCTCCCGGCCACCGCACCCTCGACCTGCTGGGCTCCGGTGTTCCTTCCGCCTCAGCCTTCCGAGTAGCCGGAACCACAGGCGCGTGCTACCACGCCCGGCTCATTTTGAATTATTGTAGAGATGGGGTCTCGCCAAGTTGCCCAGACAGGTCTCGAACCCGTGGGCTCAGGTGATCCACTCACCTCAGCCTCCTGAGTCGTGGGATTACAGGCTGAGCCACCGAGACCAGCTTGTTTCATTTTTTGTAGAGACGAGGTCTCGCTGTGTTGCCCAGGCTGGTCTGGAACTCCTGGCCTCAAGTGATCCTCCCACCTCAGCCTCCCAGCGTGCTAGGGTTAGGGATGTGAGCCACCATGCCCAGCCTAAATATACTTTAGACTACAGAACTGTGCACTTAAAATGGGTTAAAAAGGGTTAAGACGGTGAATCTTGTTATGTGTATTTTATCACAATTTTTTAAATTGCAAAGAAAATTAAAGATTAAAACAAGTCTGTATCTCAGGGCAATGCTGGGCTCAGCGCATAGTGTCTGTGGTATGTCCATTCATAGGTCAGTTCCTGTGTCTACACTGTGCCGGCCCTCTCAGCCACGGTCCGCAGTGTCCTGCATGGGTGGAGCGCCACAGTTACCAGGGTTTATGAGCTGGGTGGGCGTCTTTTCCACACTGGACTCAGCATGTGATGAGCTGAGCGGAAACTTGACTCCTCACCTTAAGTCCCGACGTGCAGTCACTCTCCTGAGGACGTCCCGGAGCATGACTCTGGCAGATGACAGATGTCCGTGCAGGGGCCGAGCCGCCACAAGACTGCCCTCCTAGTGGCCACCCGCCGCTGGTGAGTACGCGACTGCAAGTCACCCGTGTCTATTCTTGTATTTCTCTTCTCATACGAATGCTACAGAGAGGGCAAGGCATGGACACCGGGTAAGGGTTATGTTTTGGAGAAATTGGATTAAGAAGAAGAATAATAGGCATGGATAAAAGGGTTAATAAAAATGTCCAGAAAAACGGGAACTTTTCTTTTTAAGCAGGACCTGTATAAAAGCTTATAATCTGGATCAAATAAATTATGCACGGGCACTGTATTATTTTGTTTTTTAAAGCAGGGCTTATTGAAAAGACAGAAAAGCTCCCACAGTGGGAGGGAACCCGGAGGGATTGCCCAACAATTTTAAAAGTAGTTTAAAATGATGGTGTGTCTTCCAATTTTTAAAATGTCACATATATATTACTTTATAACCAATAATGGGGTGCAATTCAGGGTTAGGTATACAAATGGTTAAAGTTATTTTAAAATGAGCGTCCCTTGAATCTCACAAACGTAATGTTGAGTGAAAGAAACCAGAATAGCCGGGCTCGGTGGCTCAGCTTGTAATCCCTCGCCTTGGGAGGCTGAGGTGAGTGAATTGCCTGAGCCCACGGGTTCGAGACCCGCCTGGGCAACTTGGTGAGACCTCATCTCTATAATAAATCAAAAAATTATTAGCCGGGTGTGGTAGCGCGCCTGTAATTCCAGCTACTTGGTAGGCTGAGGTGGAAGGATCACCAGAACCCAGCAGGTCGAGGCTGCGGTGGCGGGGAGCGGCCACTGCACTCCAGTCTGGGTGACAGTGTGAGACTCCAACTCAAAAAAAAAGAAAAGAAAAGAAAAGAAAAAGAAAGACCCCAGACACAAAAGAGAGTATAATCCAGAGAGGCAGGACAAAGGCTGGATAGGGAGAATTCACGGATAAGAGAACGTCCTCCCATGGCACAGGAGTTTGCCTTGGCAAGGACCCTAGCAGACACTGGCTATTGCAACTGCTGGGAGGGCTCCTGGGAGTGGAGGAAACGTCACATGAACTGGTCCACTGCATCAGCAATGGAGTCATTTATTGGTCCTCTGTATTGATGACGGAACCATCCTATATTGGTCTACCATATTGATGATGGATTCCTTATGCACTGATCTACTCATTGACAACGAAACCGTCCTATGTCGATCTACTGTGTCAGTGGTGGAGGCAACATAGGTGAGCAAGACGTGCCAGTGCACTTCCAAGGCCTTCGCCAGACACGTGCTCATCAGAGGGTGGGGCTCTGCCACGGCAGTGGGGTAGTCCGGCCGCACAGGGCCCCATCAGTGTAGAGGTTGTCCGGGGACATGCCCGCCAAGTCGAGGACAAAGAGCTGCATTTCACACCTCCCCTACTGAGAAGGAAGCGCAGTGCCTGGCAGGGTTCTGGAGACAGCATTTTCTCCACAGAAACACCGATTCGGGCCTTTGGATGGCGACTGGGAGGA